GTTTCTAAATTCAGAATTCACCATTGTGTTTAAATGTTGAATTCTGCTTAAGCCGGTGCTAGGGGGCGTGGACGGTAACTTGCACTTTCCAGTACCGTCCATGAACAGGCTCAATCAAACCGAACCTGAAACATTTTACAATAAGTTTGCCGTGTTGGGCTTTCTTTAGGGATTTTGTTTTTGTCTATATTATGTAATCCTGTTGTGATTACTGCTTTCGAGGGATCACTTTGTTTCCAGATTTTTTCCTATGAATCAACTCAATGATTCCCGACGCCATATACGTTACCTCCGGAACAGCATTTCTTTCCTGGACAAAAAACAAATGTCACGAATGTCATTTATAACACGACTTTTTTGCCCTCCGTCTAAGAAGATCCCATATGTGCTCAATCGGATTGATGTCTAGTTAGAAATCCGGTCATGGTAGCATGTTAACGTTGTGCCTACAAAGGTATTTTGCGTGAGCCCGGCACTTTTGTGCTTGGTAAACCTCAATCAAACCGAGTTTGCAATTCTCTTGTGATTGTGTTGTGATTAATGCTTCCGAGGGATCACTTTGTTTCCAGATTATCAAACAACGCTTACTCTTCAATCTGCAATGCTTACATGTAAGCTAGACTCGCCAGTAAACAATATTTTGCCAACTTTGCCAAAGTACGGTTACTAAGATTAATTATCTAGCCTACGTATTGCCACCTGGCCCTGGGTAGTTTGCACTCTTACTTAAACGATTCAGAATGTTTTTTTTTTTTAATATTCGAAATTGTCTTGCGGTATTTGTAGCGGTTTTAAGTCAGTTACGTAGATGCGTTACTGTAATGTACTGGTCTTGGCGTGCAGTCGTTACCGTTGGTCTTTCCTGAACAAACGCCATTTTGTACGCTTCCAGATTGCTGAAAACGTTGCCGAAGATTAATAATAGTTTTGCGATGACAGTTAAACTGTCTCAAAATGTCAGTGACGCTTCTTCTTTACGTATTATGCACACGAGTAAAACCCTGAAATATGGCGTTTTCTCGAAATATGAAAAACAAGATCAACAAGGAAAGGCGGCGTTCAATGAACGCAACCCCCGTATGACCCAGCAACAATAACCAATGGCAAGGAGCCCAGGCGGACCCCAAACATAAAAAGGACAGGGCAACGACACGTTAATCATTAAATGATAAATAATTTGTAACTGATTAGGAATTCAAAGAAAATAATAATAGGCCCACAAAGGGGAAGGGGACAGAAGACCGGGGGAAGGGGGGGGGGGGTTTAATCAAAGAAATAAAAACTAGAGGCAATGGGGAAGATACTTACCGTAGACGAGAAAACAACAAGGGACACAAGCAAAAGTGTCACCAAAACAGTATGAAACAACATAGACATACATCTGAGGAACACAGTGGGGCGCTGCCTTGGAACGGTCAGCAGCATAATAATGACTGCTGGGGAGTTTAAACCGGTTAATGGTGCACCAAACCTCGCTCTTAGCCCCACCATGTTCCTATAAACGAGACAGTGTAAATAAAATGAATCCCCGCCAAGTGAAATTCTAACAGTTGTCATGGTTACAAAAGGTTAAATAAGTAAAACACTAAAATGATCATGTAGAAACATATAAAAGTAAACCCAATGACCATAACAAAAGTACTCAATGTCCTAAAGGAAGACAGAGCAACAAGAAAATCACCTACAAGGGCCCGACGAAGCAAGGCAGAAGACGAACATTAAGACAATTCAGCACTATCCATCATAGAGTCTCCCACTTGGTCCGTCAGATGCAATCAAAAGAGGAAAGCGTAGTGTCCAACTGTAAAAGGGTTGAACACTAAACATGCAGTATGTCTTAAAATAGTAGGGTCATAACCTCTTTTAATAAAACGTTTAATGATTTTAGTAAAAACAGCAGAAAAATTACCATGACCCAAAATCTTACGAAGTTTGTAAACCACATCGCCATAAAAACCAGGCTGGCTAATCCCTTGTCGCAGAAGAGTTTTTAAATCACTATTGAATTTAGAAATTAAATCAAAGTTACGATTGTAAAATTTAGTAAAATATTTCCGTAATTTATGATAGCGGTAGCCCTGTTTTAGAAGCTTGCTGGTAATAAAAATAATATTCCGCTCGTTGAAATCCTTTACGTTGTTACAAGCTCTAGCGAATCTAATTAACTGAGAAACATAAACCCCGTAGGATGTTGCATGGGGTACGTCTCCATCCAAATGTGGATAATTAACTATACAAAAGTCAAAGTCATCTCTTTTATCATAAATTTTCGTGTGAATAGAATTGTTGTTGATAGTAATATGAAGATCCAAAAATGATGTACTAAAATTTCAAGAGTTCGTTTTATTAAGTTGTAGTTCATGCGGATAAATGTCAGACACCATTTGATCAAAATAAGGATTATCTAAATTAAAAATATCATCAAGGTATCTGGAAGTATTATTAAATGCGACTATAACATCTTGTTGTTTCTCTTCAGAGAGACTCAACATAAAGTCTCTTTCATAGCAGTATAAAAACAAATCGGCGACCAGGGGTGCACAATTAGTACCCATAGGAATTCCTATGATCTGTTTAAATAAGGTATTACCAAACCTGACATAAATGTTGTCTAAAAGAAAAGAGAGTGCTCTACAAACTTCGTCACAAGTCCACATAGTATAATGTTTAACAATACCGTTAGTAAAAAAAGCTTTGTTAGAATTACATGCTAGAAAGGTAACTTTTTCCCCGTGCAAAAGTTTTCTGAATTAGGGAAATTAGTTTATCATTGATTAATTTATGTGGCAAAGTTGTATAAAGTGTAGAAAAATCGTATGTACTGACAGTTGAAGCTTGAAAGTTATTAATTTTGAATTTATCCAAGATTTCACCAGAATTTTTAATTGACCAAAAGAGATGTTTGCCTGTGTTTTCATAGACTTTATCACAATATCTAATTACATGTGTTTTAATGGCAGTCAAACAAGACGTCAAAAAAAAAGAAAGTTTACTTGTAGTGCAAAATGTAGAATTAGCAATAAATCTGGCTTTGTAAGGTTTTTTATGTAATTTAGGAATCCAATACATAATAGGAAGTTTGAGTTGTTTTTCATTAATTTGGACTTTAAGATTGGAAATATTAGTAATATGATTGTTTACAATGTCTTTTTCGGAGGCAGAGGTTTTAGAATACGCATTAGTGCTATTTAGTTCCTTTCGAAGTCGTTGCATCTTGTCAACGAGTCAAATTCAATTTGAAATGTGATGTCTCTGTGCGTAAAGGTTCAGTAAATCAGTCAGTGACAATCAGTAATATCGGTTGATGTGCACTTGCAAATTTTCTAGCCATCTTGAGATAAAATATTCGGAAAAAATGTCTATTAGTTAAGAGCATTATATTGACAATTGTGTCAATGCTTAGATGAAAAAAAATCTCCCAATTGTTCCGAGTAATAACGAAAACATAACAATCATACAAGTTTCTTTTTTGTGTCAGTATATAAATTAAAACTTTAAAGCGCCTCTCCTTAAAAGGCTATACTAAGGTATTTGGCATGTAATAATGTCTCTTCAGCGTTGGTCAAATAATAGCTACGTGGCTAAAATTAACGATATAAGGACCATCATGACACTTATTCAAAGTAAAGATTTCTGGATGTTGACCGAACAGATAAATGTACGGTTCAATAACTATCTGCTTGAGCGCATCAAATAAATGGACTTAAATGGACTTAGTCCCGGATAAGATTTATTCGTTGACTAAAGATCCTTTGGAACTTATCATGGATAAACAGTGCCAATCAAATAATCATAACATATGTGATGCTGACTTTAGGGTAATGTTTACATAAACATTGTTTCGAAAATAACTCGTACCATATAGTGTTTTTATAAAACCATGCCTTGCCAATCGAATTCCTAGAAAATGTTCAAAGCTACTTCCAATTTTGGCAGTCATATCTGTCCATCTCTTTGGATCATTAAAGCAGGACGCCTCCAGATTAATGCTTATTTTCATAAAAATTTTGAAAATGAAATTAAATGTATATCATTGTATAGTAACCGAAAGGAATCATTTTACACATTATCAATGGCACTTACATACCACGCTTATTACAAAAAGGCAAACATATGCAAGAAATGCCCTTACTCAGTTAGTAACGCAGTAGAGATATAGTTACACAAAATGAAAAATTCACCATTAATCTATCATAACATGTTAATTATTACTAGAATCTTTAATATTTTTACTTTGCCTAAAATCTTAACTCATTTTTCACAAATTTTGATTTATTGAAATATTTTCGCTCATCTGGAGGCATGCTGTTTTTACTACCTAGCGGTTGGAGACATGAATGTTGTACATTCTAGCTTTACTGTCTGTCTTTTAAGATGACCGGAGCAGTTTAAAAATCTTTTGTAAAGATTATTCATGTAAATATCAATAGAATTGGCTACAGAGTACAGAGTACAGCCACACGGTACACCGTCATCCAAATACCATATATCATATTTTTTGCGAGTATCTAATTTTCGCTTTATTTGCATGCAATGAATATCGCAAAAAATAACTTCGCTAAATTTTCCTTCTATTTAATATGGGGAATTCGCGAGTTTCTTTTATGTTTTAGATATGCAACACAGTTTAATTTTAGTTTCATACAAATCAATTTATCAAATACCAATCTGCGATATTCATGGCTGTTTAGAGTTCAATGTTTTTTGGGTTTTTTTATCGTTTGTTTTAAATATTCAATGACATTTTCTTATTATAAAAATTCTTAAGTGACGGGCTCATGAAGGGTATTTGTCTTAACGCCTTTTTTATTCAGCAAAAGATACACGCCCTTGCTTATGAAAGGTAACACCAAAAATGATGGTCACATACAAACTTTCGACATGTTTAACGTCTGTCCAATCTTCAATTCGTTTTATCCAACATAATATCATTGTATTACAATCATTGAATTAAATATTTTACCGTTACTTTGATACGTTATCAAATATGAGATAATACATAACTGATTACGTCAATGAGGCAAGAAACGGGTTAACATTGTTATTGATAGTTCATCATTGTTATCAGTTATTAAATTTTATTCCACATCTGAACATTGTTTCGGAAACACAGCGAAAATGGACGTAAGTTTATTGTTACAAGAACTTCTGTCTGTTTACATTTTAATCATTTGTAGGTAAAACTTTTCATTTTAATTTAAATTCATAATTCTATTTGCACTTAAGATACTGTTAGTCGTAATTAAGGGTGTATGAAACACTTAAGTGAACATTATCTTATATATGTATATAATTATTCTTCTAAAACTATTTTCAAAACATTTAAGAATATTTTTGATATGTACTGCACACGTTCATGCGTATTATAAGTAATTATTAAAATATGTGCATTCATTTCTGATTGAAAAATTTGGCTTAGCCTTAATAGAAAATAAATTTCTTATTATCTCATTTATTTATATGAAATGTTAATTCGGTAATATCTTTACAAATAATGCTTTTTGGAACTTACAATATTGATAAATCTTCATTTTATTATCAAATTTATTATATAAAACCATAAATAAATTTGAGTTACAGGATCTTTAATTGAAACCGTTGCTAGACAAAATAACAATTTTGCAAAATAACATGATGTTATCAATACAAATACGAAAAGTTAAGTAAAGTTGCCGGGCTCTGTATTATGCATATGCATGAAACAAATATCTTGAAATTTTTGCAACTTTCGACTATTACCTCAACATTCTTTGTATAAAGCGAATTATGTTATAAATATATCATAATTGTTTACATAGAATCATTTAAACTGAATTTAAAACTTAGTTCTGAGAACATCTTTCATTGATTTTTATTAATTTCCTGTTGTTAAGAGGGGCCCGTAAAGTGAGCGGATGATAAAAAAGTCTTGTTTAATTTATTGAGCAACAAGAAAAAGGAAAACGTTGACATTTGCAGACTCGGTTCACGTGAATTGAATTGCCTGTTGATCTTCATGTTGATTTTCGTATCTCCTGTTTTCTATCTTTACTATTTTAAAAGATGTGTAATTAAATTGTACAATTATTTTAAATTTTAAAATGTTAATGTTTTATATGATTTTTTTCCATGAACTATTAACTTTAACAAAGATTTTCCCTTAATTTTGTTTTGAAGTACCTTTTTCGACAGGGTAAAATTGTATTTTCATAAAGAATGGAATGTATAAAAACTTTATATTAAGATTTCTTATATACCTATATAATTTCTCCCCAAAATACACACAAATCTTGAAGCACGATTACGCTTAAACGGATAGAAAATTTCGTATTATGTAAGTGACAAATACGCTACCATATAGGGAAGTGCCGGACTATTTTTAACGTTGGTGGCGATTTTAGCTGTGAATCACGTAGCATTTGGAAACGGGAACCAAAATAATCAAAGGCGTGGCCGATTTTGCAAAAGTGACGTATTCATCCGTCATTCATGAATATATTACTTTATTTTCTGAAATAAATAATAGAAGTGAAGTTTATTAAAACTCATTTTTACTTAAAATAGGTATATAATAAAAGGGAAATTATGTTGTAGCAGCTTTCAGAGGCTATGTATTTTACTACTCAAAACGCTGGAAAATTAATGTCTCACTCGACCTTCGGTCTCGCAAGTTACCAATTAACCAACGCTGCTCGTAGCAAACTACAAAGCCTCAGAAACCTACCATAACATAATATTCCGTATATATTACGGCAATAATACTTGTAAATCTTGTAATCTACTGTATCAGAATTCCCTCGTCTCGAATAATTTTGATTTGGACTTTCATTTATTTTCATTTGCTTTTATTGAAAGAAGAACAGTTACCGAAAGTATTGATAAAAATAAGTACGCATACGCTTTAAATGTTATATTTTAAATTTTACAGATTAGGGTTTTTATGACTACAATGAGATAATGCCAGACAATTGTCAAGTATAATCTAAAATTCTATTTTAAACTATTTGTCGGCAATAAATGTCTGATAAGGTTATCTTTACAAACTTCACGTTGAGCATTTATATCTATTTTAAATGATTAAGCGATACATTGTAATATTTTAGGAACCAAAAATGTCCTCTTGTTAAATCAGAAAACTATCACACTATCTACGACGATCTTATTAATAGTAGTGATTGGTTATCATACGCATCGCTGGATGATATCAAATAAAGCGGTTTTTAAGGGATGATTGACCTGTTTGTACCCGTTTGTTCCCTATATGTCGTGGGTACTTTGAAGCATGTGGCAGCTATTGTGTAGCAGGCAATACAAAAATCATTAATATACTAACAAGCCATCTTTAATATAACTCAATAAAAAGTCAGCCACTGAAAAACCAACTAATTATGCCCATGATCAATCCTGTAGAGTTTCACTAAAATTGTCTAATTGTCTATGTCTAATATTGATTAAGTGAAAGTATAAACTATGTTTGGGAAGCTGTATTCTCTATTACTTGTCATATTTATTTTGTCTTTTCTCTTCTTTTTCTCTGGACCTACTTCTTTTAAAAATAACATTTTTAATCATAATTAGATTATCTGTAGTGTGTAGAGTTATCAACGTTTCATGTTTTTTCTGTGTGTATTCGAAACATTTTTATTTTATATTAAAAAAGACAAGAAACTATTGTTGTCTTCGTTAAAAATAAATACACGTGCAAGCAAGGTCTATATTTACAAACAAATAATATGAATAACCAAGATAAAGATATTGGAACTAAAACGTTTTTCTATAGGGATTGGTATGAAAAAGGAGTAAAGAATTTTGAACATTTTTTTGATTTCAGAACAAAATCTTCTTACCAATTTTTGGATTTCAAATATTTGTATTTAAATATTACAATCTTATTTCAAGTATACCATTCAGCATTAAAATCTCACTTGCACAGTATGGCATTATCTTTACATACAAAGAAAATGTTAATGATAAAATGTTTAAGTAAAAACCACCAAATAAACTACTTAATTTATGATATACAGCTGAGCAATCAACCAATCCCCAAAAAATCAAGTCGGAAAAATTAATGGCAATCTTTTTTTTATAAAAATACACCAGCAGTCAGGTCAGTTATATACTCACAATTAAGAAAAATGACAATAGATACAAAACTAAGAAAATTCCAATATAAATATCTGATGCAAATTTTTCCAACAATCTATTGCAGTTCCAAAGTAAAAAATAGCAAAATCTAATTTGTTTTATCTTTGCCATATGCACATTAAAAAACTAGAAAAAAACTAAAACACATGTTCTGGGAATGAAGTGTAGGTCAGCATTTGTGGAATAAACTAGGTAATTATTTACCTGAAAAACATATAAAAATCAAACTAAATTTACAGGTGGCTAGTTTTGCTATTACTGAGATAAATGTAAAAATTCAGAATGTCATTATTTTTATAATATTCCTTAAGAAATTTTATATTATGCCCTCAGAAATGCCAACATTTTTATTTTTCAAAGACTTTCTCATTTTTGCTTTTTTTTAATCAATCATCAATTATTAAAACATTATTTAACCATCATATTTTCGTTTATCTATAATGTAATTGGAAACGATTATAATCCCTCATGTTCGAAATAATATTTTCTTTTTTTCTTTTCATATTTAAAAACATATTATTTTCTCTTCACAAAAAACCCACTTATATAATAGAACGAAATAATAATTTAATGATACATATATTTCATTATGTTATATGTATTATGAAATTGTAAATTCATTGTATCTTAATATTTGAATTATGTGATAAAAGGAAGTAAATAATTAAAAAAAGGAATATCAACAATCAGAAATGAATTTCGGAAATAAACAATTAAATACATAATTAATTATTTTGAAACTGGGGTTGGGAAATGTCCGACTTTTTTATTGTCTTTATTGTAATTTACGAATCGAAATCTCTTGAAAGCAGAAAACCATGCCTATTTCTGTCCATGGACCTTTAACTTCTATACAACTCATACATATTTTTGCAATCTGCCATACTTTATTGAGTTCTTCAAGTGTCAGAGGAGTTATCTTAGGTTGTCGCAAATTCACTGACTCTTGTGATAAAATGAAATTTTTATTTGTAATAACTGTTCAATTCTAAAAACTAAATATCATATTTAAAATTCTTTACTTCAGAACTTAAAATAAATCATTTAATATTAAAATTATCATCAAATTATCTAAATAAATACATGTATAAATTGTCTTTCGAATATTGAAATAAAGACTGATTTTTTTGACAATCCCAAAATAAATGCAACAGAGTTTCCTCTTTGGCAATTGCAAAAAGAGTACACATTTTACTATAACCAATTTTTATTTTAAACAAAAGTGATTTAGTTGCTTAATTTTTATAAATATTTATTGTCCTTAACTACGGCGCCCCTTAACTGATATCCGTGACACTTTTTTTATTTCGTAAAAAAAAACGTAATGATATTTCGTGACGAGAACTGCCAGTACGACAGCGCTCCATACTATTCTGAGTCAATTTTTTTCGAAAAAATATAGGAATTTATAAAAAGGAAGTATTCAATTAAAATACATGATAAAGTTCAGTATTTTGGAAAATAATTGTTTATGGTTCAAAAAGGGTCTACGTCCATATACGAGTTATACGAACTTTGTAAATGGAAGTGAGTGATGACAAAGAATAATTAATAAAAAGAGTAGAGTAGATTAGTCCAGTCAATTTGTGAAAAATTACTTCAGAAAATGGAAAAAGCGCCAAACGTGGTACAACTTTGGGCTATATAGGAAAATAAATGTTTTGTTTACAATGTCAATTTATCAGAAAGATATATTTACTTAAACAGATGGAACGAATTAAATAAAAATTCTAGTTCATAATGTTACTTCAAAAATGTGTATTTTAATGGTTACATTGGGACATGTAGGCGGAAATCAATAGGCACATTATCTTATCTGTCCCTCTATAAATGGGCACGTTGTTGATCTTGTTGACCGTTGTGAAAAGGTATAAGGAAAATAAAATATATGAATCAGAGATATAAAAGCTAACTGGCGGAAGATTTTAACAGTTTTTAAGTACTTGAATTGTCATATCATAATAATATAAAATTTATCATTACAATACTTTTTATAGAATGTGCAAGAAAAAAACGATTTTCCCCATTGAACATAGAAAAACGGAAAGTGTGTGTTATTATGCAATAAAATCACAGTTTGACGTTCTATATTTAGACATGTGACGTAATCATTATACACGTGACGTAACCACTATAAATGTGACGTGCTGAAAATAAGTACGGAAACAAACAGGCACAATTTCAAACTCCACGCACCGGTTACGCTACGGCCAGTACACAAATCATGTGATGATAGTCTTATCACATGATCGTGTAAAAATGGCGTATACGCCGATGAAATCGTTGAAAAAATGTTTTATCTGTAATAAACAGCGACATTAAAACTTGAACTCTGGTCTCAAATATGTCGATATGATTGAAAAAAAAATCATTTTTGTAAAGCGTAGAGTCGAAATTAATAATTACTTGAATGATTTCTCTTTCGAGAGGGGCCATTGTTTTGGAAATAAACGGTGCGGTATTAAAATTTTTAAAAATTATTTTCATAATATTTATGTTTCCAAAATTATTTTTTATTTTAGTTCACATCTAACACCTAACGGTCTTGAAACATTAGCAAAACCGTGTTTACTTTTTAAAATAAATATTAAAATTGAAAAAATTCATATCGTCAAAAATCTTGACGAAAATGTTGTGATGGCCGAGATCTAATCCTGTAATCCGAGATCACTGCGGAGGAGATTGGCACAATTTAGGTTAATATCAGGTACGGCAGCATTTATTTTGTATATGTCGTGTTAGAATCGAAATTATATATCCAAATCGGTGATTTTATCGCTTGATAACATCACTGTTTGTCGTACAGCTGCGCATTATAATACACCCTCGTGATATAATTCCTCGCATCCGAACTCCAATATTTTCAATTATTCCGTGTTGGGCTTTCTGTAGGGATTATTTTTTTTTCTATTTGATTATTTAATAGAAATAATTGGTTTACAGATTTTGATTCAAACACACCTCTGATGAAATAACTAATTCTAAACATTACATATCGATTTTCGATTGATAAACTGCCAATATGACACCAAATTTCAAGACTAATTAGTTTGTAGTTGTTTACCCGTACATAATATTATGTCAAAAATTACATTATCTCATTATTGTGAATATGAAAACCCGACGTTACATTCTCAATGTATCCAAAATTTATTACGTACCTCCTCTTCCTTCGTTAACGCCACCGTCACCCTTAATTCTATGTCAAATTCCAAGTCGGTGCCCCATAGTGTGCCCTGTGCCACAAATAATTATATTTGGTTGCTGTGTTTCTCGACCGTTCCAAAAGGCATGTTCAGGCCACCCTGATAAGTTTTTATTTTAGAACATCAGCCATTAGCCTGTTTTATGAAAACTGGGCATTTTCACTTCATTACTAGATCAAATGAAAGAAAACAATGGACGGTCGTGCTTAATAATTTGCCGTCCCTTGACACCGTTTTTCTTCTGAGGACCTCAAAGTCAAGAACGCCACCAAATCAAATGCAGGGATGGAATTCGACATTGGAAATTATATAACTAGGCCTTACTGTCCTTAAACATCAGGTACATCGGGTATATCTCTTAATCCTGCAAGCTCTCGATCATGCAAATGAGCAAAAAACAACACCCGGGCCAATGTGTGATGTGTTGACTTGTCAACAAATTCCAAATTATCGTTAGCAGGTTTGAACAGAACTAGAGTAAAACGTTTATGATATGTAATGTGATTACGAATAATTCAATACAAAGATATTGCCAATGAGGGTATGGTTAAGACTTATTACAGTTTCGAAGCAAGAAACATGATAAATAGAACAGAACCTCTTTGCAGTAAGAAATGTCTTAAAAAGAAACTCTATGAAGATAAAGAGCAAATATGCTAAGGCTTGAATATTATGTTTTCCGTATTATATAAGTGACAGGTACACGCTGACAAACATGCTGAGCCTACCTATCCCAGTTCAGTTATTTTGTTTTAGAACAAGGTATAATTCTTTTCCTGTCTTGAGTTTTATTCGTAAGCAAACTTATATAACTGAACGTTGTTGATACTATATTACGTGAACGTTGTTCTCCGCGGTAGATCGTTGTCTTCATATTTTTGTTTCTTGTGTTTGATGGTGCATTGTTAGGGTTGTTATTGTAATTAAAGTTTTGTCTTAAGGCTGTCATTCCGACAATGTTCAACATAAACTTAATATAAAACCTTTACTTCAATAGCCTTTTGTCATATAGAAAGATATTTGATATCATTATATCATGTTATAAATACCAATGATGCATTGCACTGTCATAAAACATCTCATCGCGCAAAAAATTATTATTTTTAATTATCTATTTTTATTTTATGCTTTTTAGTGGATTACTGATTTATCCGTGAAAATTATACATGTATTTGATAATTTCACAGTGAAAATTATCAAAATATAATTTCACACTTTTCAATGACGAAACTACTTTTTTAAGATTTTCCCCATGTGGTACCTCAATTTTAATTTTGCTGACTATTCCGACAATGTCAGGCTGCTTAAAGAAAAGCAAAGCTGAAATTGATAAACAACTTACATATCAAAATTAAGAAAAAGAAGAAAACTTACAGTATGTCTCTTCTATTCATTCAAATTACCAATCACCAAATATCGTCTCTTTAATTTTTTGTTTAATTTCTACAGTCTGAAAAATACATCCCTTCAACATGCAAAACTGCTCTTGATGACATTTGGGAATATTTAAGTATCCTACGAGCAATAACTGCCGTATGCTTTATGAAAACTTGAAAAGCAATGGCAGCTTTTACTCGAAGAATATGTAAACAACCCAGCGTTCGTAAGGCTTCCAAGTTTTCCAATTTTCTATCCACTTTTTGAATGTTTACACATCTGTCAACACTTATTTATTGTCTGTTACAATCCTCCAATAAGTTTCTTTCTTTTAAAAAAGGTGTATCACTAACAAATCCAAATGATATCCCTCTGAATCAAACACAATTATTTTCCTCCAGTGAAATACACAACTTTAAAAATGGCGGCCGTTTACATTTAACAAAGCCAGGTCGAATATAAATTCGCAGTCAGTAACAGAAATATGGATGGATGGTTGGACTTTTTCTCCTACTAGAACTGTTTGTTTTTATTATTAAAACAAGCGATCAGACATATTTTTTTAATAAAATGAATACTATCACTACATTTTAACATTGATTGTTGAACTTATTTTTCAGCCCATGACTTCTTGTATTTAATGAGAATTCGACTTTTTTGAAACTCTCAATGGGGAAAACAGATTTTAATATTAACGTAAATATTAAGGAAATTTCGTTTTAACCTGTTTTTAAGCATAAAATAAAAAAAAAATGTTTGTTTGTTTGTTGTGTAAGATGTAATTTTATTTCATCTCGTCAACTTTAAAAACAGTATTCTCACTCGTGGCTACGCCACTCGTGAGAATACTGTTTTTAAAGCCCACTCGATGAAATAAAATTTCATCTTGCACACAAACAAACAAATATCCTCTATATCCTCTTCTTTTTTCTTTTTTTTAAGAAAAAGGAAAGAAGAAGAAGAAGAAGAAAGATTTACATTTTCCATAAAATAAGTCGGTTGATCGGTAAACCGAAAGATATAAAAATATCTGCATTAGTCACGCAGTTGAACAGATATATAGTTATATAATTATATTTTTAAAACGAACCATTATCACAGAGTTATAATTATATGTAAACTTCCAAAGGCACATTTCAAATATCCAAATCTTGTTTTTCTGTAAAAATAAGTCATACGAAAACAAATTAAGTGTTACGGACATTTATATGAAATAACATTTCTAAACATTTTTGGTCGTTTTCTTCTGATTTTGTACATCAAAAAATATGTTTGAATAAAACAGATACTAAAACTGAATTTTACACACGCTACGAAAATAAAAAAAGGAATGTAAGGAAAAGTTTTGTCTTCCGAAATAGATAATAAAAATGTATTTAATTTAATAATTTTCATATAACTGGCGCCCATCTAATGTCATATTGCATTTCTCAGCGAAACCTTTTAGCTTACCCTACGCACATCAAAATAATGTTATTTTAGCCAATACTAATCATTGCAAACATTATAAGTGAAACTAAAACAAAATTATAAGCTTTCAGAAAATTTAAAGATCCTGTATGTTTTGTGATTGATATTGTTACTGTGTGTATACCACACTTGCAAAAAGTTATTTATGTATATAATTATGCAAATAAAACAATTTTCAAACAGTGAAGAAAATTTAAAATGTGTACTGCAAATATGTGTGCACATTATATTTAATCCATAAATTACATGCATTCATTTCTTATTGGAAAAATTTGACTTAAAATTGATAGAAAATACATTTCTAATTACCTCCCTTTATTTACATGAAATGTTAAATTGGGAAATATCTTTATAAATAATGCTTATTGGAACTTACAATATTGACAAATCTTAATTTGAGCATCATATTTATGAAATAAAACCATGAAAAAATTGTGTTACAGGATCTTTAAGTTTAAATTCTGTGCAAGTATTGTCCGGGTATACTGAAGCAAAGACAATAAAGTATGACAAAGATTTACAAGTCATCAATAATATGTTTGCATTGTCCAATTATTTACAGGTACGCATTGACGATCAAATAAGACATTTAGATGAGGAAATCTTTGAAAAGGAGGAACAGGCTAATAAATTGGAAAGATGTGCGGACCAGCTTGATGAAAGAGCAAGAAATCTCCGGCAATTAGCGCACACACAGAGAGGCAATGGCATACTTTGGGGATTTTTTTCTACAGCTGCTGGACTAGCTTTAACACCATTTACAGGTATCAAAACATTTAGAATTTAGATTTTTCTGACCACTGTCTATTAATTATGAAGCTTATATTTACGTTTGAAATGAGTCACAGAAATATTTGACTTTAATGGATGGAAAGGCAGAGAAAATATATTAGCACCAGACGAACATCCTCAGTTAAAAATATTTACATAATATCCTGTCTGTAAGGTACCCTTTACGCTTTCTTTTCAATTGTTTGCTTTAGTCATATTTGAATCAAATTTTATCTTATTGATCGCTTATGCAATTACGGTTTGGGTTTACGATTAATTCCAGGAAGATTAACAAATGATTCATCTCGACATTCGTGTCATTATATTAGTGTTACAAAATACTATAGCATTTTATCCTTATTATTTTTTACAGGTGGTGCATCTCTCGTTGTAGGACTTGCGTCAGCTGGAATTGGTGCAAAAATCAGTTATGACTCATCTGAAGATTGTGAAAGAGCATCGGAAAAATTAAGGGAGAATGCAAAGACATTTCGACATGATGTAGCTGTGCTATCGGGGAAAAGAGATGAGCTTAAATTAAAAAAGAAAAATCTTAGTTCTTCTTTTTCTTTGTTTTAAACAAATGAGAACAAATATCATCAAGGCAAATGCAACGTTCACAGGACGCAGCCTATTGGAATGTCATGATTCGTCTTCTATCTTGAGGGTCTTAAATATAACTTTTAGTTTCTTACATTGTTCTTCTTTCTTAAGATTTAGCGACTGATATTTATGTGTTTCCAAATCTAACAGCATTTAAATGTTTTCGTTGATAACTTCCATTGCCAATGTATTATGCAAACCTTTTTTTCATGCAACAAGTTCTATCATAATTGCACCGACACAGACTTTATTTCCCTTTTTGATGTCTAATATATACATTTGTTTTACATAATCGAATATTTCTCTCTATTTCAATTTACATCTGAAACCACGTGGTAGAACTACTTTCTATTACAGACTGGTCCCATGCGCACTTCTAAACATATTTTCTTCCTCTTGTACCATTTAAAACGATTTACGTTTTGTTTTGTATATCTACAGAAAGATGGAGGGAAATCAGGGAACTGACAAATATATTGAGGTACAGTTAGCCTAGAAGAATAAAGTGCATTTTTATGTAAAAACAATTGAATATTGCCTCTGTATTTGTGTGTTTTGTTTGTTCGTTTTCTTTCGTTGTGTGAGTGGGTTTGTTGTCGTGTTATTCTTGTTATTTGACTTTCGTTTGAAAAGACATTATAATTTCCATACAACAGAAAAGTAAAGTAGATAAAAAGTATTTGTTCAATTGTTATTTTATTAGTACATTGTATAACCTCTCAGTTGATTGTGCAAACGTATTTATTCCGTGAATCTAAATAAAAACAACGCAATTGAAGTTACTTTTTCTTGTAAATATGTTCACAATAATGTGACCATTGAACTTATGTAGATGATGTTTATAATAATGTTTCTTTTTGTATTTTATTTACGAATATTTGCGATTCGTGGCATGTTTTTGATAATAATATTTGTTTTAACACGGCCTATAATTGAGATGAAATTATTGTGTTATAATACGACCAACATAATTGTATTCAGAAAAATCTGGCAGGCTTGTTTTCTCGTTTAGGGCACACGCATTTTTTTACTTGGGGACCATATGCCGCTTTTCATGGAATGGCACTAACGTGTCACATTGAAGGTTCCATGATAACCGCCATATGAACACATCTGCGGATGTTCCAAAATTCTAAATTTTACCAGTTCATCTTAAATGTTGAATTCTGCTTAACCCGGTGCTAGGGGGCGTGGACGGTAACTTGCACTTTCCAGTACCGTCCATGAATAGGCTCAATCAAACCGAGCCTGCAATATTTTCAATTTTGCCGTGTTGGGCTTTCTATAGGGATTCTGTATTTTATCTATTTTTTGGTAATAGGTATGGACAAATAGTTTTGAAGCAATCAAGTAATCGAAGTAGTAAATTCATTTGACTATTATGGTGTGGTATTCACGAGCGACAAATCTTACATTCAAGCTTGCAAATTCGTGACTACAAAGTACCAGTTCATAATTATTATCTAAAGTTTAATCTTTTTAACGCCTATGTTTACCGATTTTAATCTATGGCTATGAAGTATGGGGGTTAATAAATGCAGAAGTTTTTAAACGAGTGCATACAACTTTTTGTAGGTTTATTTCAAGTCTTTAACAGTTAAAAGATAATTGTATATACTGAGAACAATATTGTGTAGACAGAAATATGATGTTGATCATGATGCGGTACATTGTTCAACAAATTGGGCTTCGAAAGTGCAGAAACATTCTTCAGTCAACAGGATTTAAGAAATTCTGGTTATACAAAGTATCCCGATTCTGTAAATGTAAAGATATTTGTACGGGATATTTATATATATTGTTAGAATGGTGGTATTCAATCTTCATCATTGTTAGATGAAATAGGAATTCTAACACTCCTCGTGATTTTGTCACTATAGACAAAAAGAAGAAAAAACCCGTTGTGAAACTGCCAATAAATACTGGTAAGGGACTTCTTGTATATGCGGCTGTTATATTTTCTACGTGGATTATGTAGTTTACAAAGCCTTTTTAAAGCAACAATAAAAAAGCATTTTATTGATATTTTCAGTTCTTATTATGCGTTCTTTTCATACAATACCGAAATAATATCTCACATACACTAACGCCAAAGATTTGATCCATATCAGTTAATAAACATTTTGACAAAACGGCGCCAATCCGTAAGCAGCGTAATGACGTCATCCTAAGTATACAACTCATTCATAAACGCTGACGTCATTTCAAACATACAAGAATGATAAATTTGGCACTGATGTAACACAATACAATCCATTCTAAGAGTAAGTTTTTTATTGTTGAAAACTTGATAAAATAACTATTTTTCTTATTATTTCTTTTGTTTAATATATACTTTCAATATCTTAGCACCAGTAGGGTGCGAAATCGAACAGCGTTAAACGAAAATCGGCACCGGATGTAATTTCCGCTTGAAAAAATAACATTAGTGATCTTCCCTATTTTATCTTGTTAGAATCGAAATAATATCGGTCTGATCGGTGTTTATCGGCTATCACCGGTTTTGTTGTTTTCATGATAAAAAATAACCACTTAAATTTGGCCTACGGCCTTCGTGGTCAATTCCTACGCATCAAAACTCCGAACCGGTGTTAAATAGGCGATAAACACCGGTAAGACCGATATTATTTCTTAAATATATCATCACATTTGAAAACTCGTTATATATGAAATATAATGAACTGTAAAATATTGAAATATCTGAGTCAAAAACAAAAAGACTTTTTTCACCGAGTTAGGAAGACATAATTATTTACAAAATAATGAACGGAAGTGCACTCAATATTATATGAATGATAAAGAAGACGAATTTCAATTTATCCATAAATGTCCAAAATATTCTGAGCTAAGAACAAATACATTCCAATATACTATTTTGCAACACGAGTATGTGTAAAATAATTTCATTAATGCAAACCTATCGTAAGAAACAGCTTAAATATTGTGCTGTATTCTTTAATAAAACTTTTTTAATTTTATAAAATACTGACGAGTACATTTTTTTCTCTCTCTCTTTAGATAACTAACAGTAAGTAGTAACAGTTTTGTATAAATTAAGTTTATTAAAAAAACAAAGAAGTGAAAAAAATCAGTAAATCAAGCCATCTAACGTATTTCATTTATCATGAAGAAATGAATTTATTTATTGCTATTGTTATCGACCATAAATTATTAAAGGGAAGTAAATAAAACTGAAATATTTGTTATGTAAAGTAAATGAGTTGTTTCCCTTCATTTCTCACACTCCCTAATTTGCATTAAAACTGCAGTTTTCTTTTTATGGGTTCTATCCATAGGCTTTATCAAATTTCAAACAAAAAACAAAACTTATTGTAGCTTAATTTGAATATTAAGTAAAGATATACGAATTAACGCGCGTTATACATGTAATACATATTCAAATGCTTTTAAGACATTTCGTGTCTCATTAAACATCCCCAAATTTTCTTAAACCATTATTTGTCAGTAATATATGTTCATTGTTATGTATAATTTTTGTATTACATGTTGTATTTGTATATGTAATATGGTGATGAGCTTGTTATGCTTTAAACAAGTAATACAATTTCTGTTATGTTATGTTCTGTTATTAACACTAATTGATAGCACGTAAAATACAACGTTTGTTTCATCATATGACTAAACAAAATATGTTAAGAATGATTGTCATGTATTTTCCCAATTTGAATTACATCTAAGCAATTAAGAAGACGCAATGCTATGCTCGAATTATGTTTTAATTGTATTAAACATGAATATAAACATTTCAAGGTCAAAGAATGGGATTGACAGAAAATACTGTATAGAAACGCTCACATTATAACAATCAAAAATATATATAGTAACAAAATCTAGGGTACTTCACGGCCATTATGGCTAGATCTAGGTCATTATGCAAAGTTTAAATGACATAATTAATCACAATCAGCAAAACTTATCATTGAAGATTTATAAACTCAAGACAATACATGACCCTCAGAAATTCCAAAAGTGATTTTAGATTGACTGTACAAAACGGTCGGAGCCTAAACAGTCTCAACAGTCTCAGAAGCACAAAACTTTATAAAAAAAAAACCAGCACTAGATCTAAATGTAATTCTCATAAAAAAATGTCAAGAGTAGGGTTCTGTATTATCGATAGAAACAACAATAAAACAACATTGTCTTATATTTATTTTGTGTTGTCTTGTTTTTTAAGTTAAAATGAGTGTTAAACTGTACAGTATGACAGATATTTGTTTACATTGACAACTGTCCGTTTCTAAGAAAGGGCGACAACCAAGATTAGCGGCGATGTCTAAACGCCGTATTTCGGACATAGGTATTAAATACGTTAATTCTTGGTTGCTGCTCGACAGTATGCGATAATGGCCCTCAGGCCATTATGCACATCTTCGGACCATTATCGCATAATGGCGAGCAGCAACCAAGTATTAACCGCTAAGTAATTTGAATTGTATGCTGGCTTGTATTTACGTACGAGTAAATCGTAATGCTGAAGGCTCATTCAGCCTAAAACATTTCTTTCGACAGGGCAAACATGTTTCATAATGTAGTAATGATGAATTTTAAATACATTAGAAGCTTGTCAACTAATAGAAATAGCGCTTACTATGAATTTTTTTTCAGACTTCCGTACAAAATTATAAATCACTATACAACTACTAACGTATTATGAGAGTAAACAACAAGTGATTTTAGCATTATTTTATCATGTTATATCATAGTTTTAAGTCATTTAATATTTTATGTTCTGACCAAAAAAAAAAACTCGAAAAAAATCTTCAAAGACATAACATTTTTGTAAACAATTTAGTTAAAATTTACCTTGATGCTCATTATACTTGTCCATTTATAACAGAGTTGTGGAAATTCATGACATATTACGTCATTAACTTTTTAGCGTCATTTTTAAGGTCAATTATAAATAACTGAACATGTCGTTTTGGTCATTTGTGTTGTTTTGTTCAAATATGAATAAACTTCATATCAAATGACAGTAATGACAATTTAGGCAAAATTCAATAAGTTTAGCTTGACAGTCAATGAGATTATTTTACATTAAAGCTACATTAAATATTTTTCCGTCGGCTTAAAAACCAAGCATTCCATAGTTTCGTGAACGCTTTTAACAGTATTGTTGTAAATTTTATTCAATATTATTCTTAAGTTTTGATTTCAAAAGGAAAATCACGAGGTTACACTAAAGTTCGTATACGAACTTTAATATGCAAATGAAGACTATAATTAGCTCGTATATGCGCTACGTCACAGTGGTAAAATCAATTAGTACTATGTTGATCACAGGAAATATGAGATATTGTTGTGCAAATAAACTTTACCGTTTTAGTTTCACGGTGAATTAACCTTGTCGTTCACAAAAATTAATCATTTCATAAAAAAGAAAACATCCGTAATATAATGCGGAAGTATACCGTTAAATATCCTGTACGTTGTGATTAAGGTTGTTACCACATTTTATTAAAACTTTGTATATAATCATGCTTCTAAAACAATTTTCAAACATCGAAGAATATGTAAAATATGTACAGAAAATAATTGTCCACAGTATATGTAATCATAAAAATATATGCATTCATTTCTTATTGAAAATTTTGACTAAGACTTTATACAAAAAAAATTTCTTATTACTTCTTTTTATCAACATGAAATGTAAATTCGTTATTATCTTAGCAAATAATGCTTTTTGGAACTTACAATATTGATAAATCTTCATTTGAGCATCATATTTGTGATATTAAACCATATGAGCATCAT